GGCGGCGCGGCGCGGAGCAGCCCTGCGGGACGGAGCCTTCCCAGCACACCGGGCTGTGGAACGGATCTGTGGAACAGAGCATCCCGAGGCATCCCTGCCACTCGTGACGTCCCACAGCCCCGTACAAGACACACGTGGCCGTGCTCGCCCGACCCCACGCGTCAGCTCCGCTGGGCAGAGCTCCACGCTGCGAGTGACAGCCGGCAAGGCCACCGCGTGCCTGCGCGGTGACAGGGCCGCCTGGCCCCGCTCGGAGCGCGCGGTGGGACCATCCCCGCACCGCTCACCCTGCGCTCACAGCCCCTTCCCAGCCCCGTCCCACACGCAGCCGCTCCACTCGCTCTGGAGCAGGGAGGGATCCTCCAGCTCTCCCGCACTGCTGCTCCCGCAGCAGGGGCAGGATTTATCCCACATCATTTCCTGCATCCACAGGGGATACGTTTCCATTGGAAATAAACTCCCTGGAATCCCTTTGCAATTACGGCACAGAACCAGACCCCTTGACTGGCCGATTCACAAACACTTCAGTCCTGCTGGTTTAGTGTAAAGGCCTTTTCTCCGGCTTCCAGAAACACAGACCTGCCCTATTCGTATTATATCCACTTGGCACAAATCCTGAATGTAATTTCAACGTCAACACCGCGGTGATTTCTCCTACATCCTCCTCATCCAGTGATGGCAATCTCCACAAACACTCACAGATGAGCAGTACCCTTCCTTTTGGAAGCACTCCGGAACGCCGCCGTGCTCGCTGCAGGATGCGCTGCCCTGTCCTGCTGCAGGATGCGCTGCAGAGCGTTGCCCTGTCCCGCCGGCCTCGCGGTCCCTGCGGCGTCACCGAGCACTAGAGCCCAGTCTCTCTGCACCCTCTAGTCACTTTTTTCACACCAAGTTGCCAATGAGTCGGATCCTGGCTTTCTTTTCTCGTTTTAAATAGGACACGGAAGACGCAGTCAGGCAGAGCAGAGGCAGCTCCCAGGCTTTGCCTCACAAGAGCCAAGGAGCTAACGGAGCCGCAGGAGCAGCAGAGCTCTGCGAATCCGCTCAATCTCCTTCCTCCCTACAGCGCCCAGGCCTTAGAGCACAGACTACACTGGACAAAGCTCTCATTATTACCAGTAGGAAACGATCCTGGATTGGCCTCCAGGAAAGGCATCCATTGAGTCTTTTCATTGACTTACAGTCTCCCTGTAATTCCTGTTGGCAGAAGGGGACGTGTCGGCTTGTTTTCTGCTATGGAAAACATGTATCTGCCTGAATTATTTATCTGAAGAACATTTGTTCATGAAGACATACAGGCAGCAGGCATTTTAATAAAAAATATCACTCAGCTTTCCAACCACCCTCTGAAGGAAAATAACTTTGTGCAAGACCCAGGCCCTTGCAGTGCAGAGGAAGACCCCGCCGAGCCCGGGCTCACCTCAATCAGAAAGTCTCCTGTGCGCAGCCCCGCTCTCCAAGCAACGCCTTCCACATCCACCGACTCCAGGTACTGCAGGGCAGGGAACGCCGGCGTTGGGGTGAACTCCTCAATTGGGGTCTCAGCTGTGAAAGAAGAGAAGGACTGAGACGGTCTACCTAAAACCAAGTAGAGGATGAACCATCATGTCCAGAAGCCTAGAAAAAAAACGGATTAGAAAGAACATGCACACAAGGCTCAGCTTGACCTCAGTGCAGGACCCAGAGCCAGCACCACGTGGCTAGTGCCCCGCAGCGCAGACCCCGAGGTGGCTCCAGACCCATGCTCATCTACCAAAGATAAGCATTACCAACGATAAGAGCCTTCCAAAGGTCGTCTATGTCCCCATAAGATCCCTAAAGCCTCATTCATCTTCCAGCACCACAGACAAAATCGGAACGACATCTGTACGCAATGCCAGGAGAGCTGGAACTCATCTACTGGGACTTGTGCCTACGGAAGGGCTGTCCCTATCGGAGTCAGGGGCCCCTTTCCAAAGCAGAGAGAGAAACACCTGCTAAGCACAGAAACACGGGACAGCCGGGCTTGCCACGGACCTCTGGGGACATCTGACGCAGTCTCCCTGCTCAAGCCAGGTCACCCTGGGCACGTGGCTCGGTGCTGTGACCCGGCGGCTTCTGGGAGGCTCCCCGGCCTCTCCGGGCAGCCTGCTCCACTGCTCTGCCACCCTCACCATGAAGAAGGGTTTTCTTATGTTTCACTGGAATTTCTGGTGTTTTGTTGCCTCTTGTGCACTTGTGCTATTTTAGAAACCTGGTTTTGGTACCCTAGAGTGGTGCCTCTGCCACTGCTGGTCCTACACGATGAGCTCAGGGACAGGCAGCCTCTTAGCTATGGATGTCAACATCAGCCATATAAATCCCGTTCTTTATCACTTAGGCCTTAAACGCATTCCATCAGGATTCCCCGGTCCCTTCCTCAGAGCTGCTTCCATCAGGATTCCCCAGTCCTTTCCTCAGAGCTGCTTCCCAGCAGATCGGCCCTGCCTGGTGTTATCCCTCCCCAGGTGCAGGACCCTGCACTTAACTCCACAAGTCTCCCCTCCGTCCATTCCTCATCCCGTTCTGCACGGCTGGCGGGTTGCCCCGCGCGCGGCCCGCCC